TTTCAAAGAAAGCCAGACTGGCTTTCAGTTTCCTTTGGAGAAATTTAAAGTTGGCACACAAGAATTCATGACTAAATTCTCCTGTGTCACAATATGCAGAATAATCATTAAATATGTATCAGTATGCAGACTATCTAAGTAGTGCATGAATATAAGCAGCAAGTGCACCAGGCAGGCAAATTACCATGCAGTCTATGAGCACTTCAGAAAGTGAAATGATTAATTCATTTAGTTCTTGCTGCAAGAAAATACCTATTCATCATGGTAGAAATGTATCACATCGTTTTTCTTTTCTTTGTGTAATATCCACCTCTTCCCTAAAATATCACTTTCTGTGAATAAAAAGGAGCTGTCATCTTGGCAATGGGAAGCTGTTATCATATTCCTCAAGGCTTCATCTGCAAACTTTTCTGTCTGAAAAATTGGATTCTTTGTGTTAGCAAACTTTGCTCTAGGGAAGAAACTTGATCCCCGTGGAAATATAACTAGTGGCATCGTGTGTACATCTGCACATTCCATCTGATGGTTTTATGGTTTCCATTCTGCAAACTGCAAACAATATTTAGCTATGTTTTGCTTCTTTTCTCCATAATAGCTTGAATATTTTACTGCTTTCTAATTCCTGTTTCCAAATCAGGTTCACTGACTTTGTCCAAACCAATGAATGTTTTCATGATCGTATTTCCAACTTCCATGTTTCTCTGGTATATCTTTAGCTCTCTTATTTTTCTACCACATTTAAACCTTACAGCACTTAGAAAAATTAAAAATTAAGATTACTTAATATCATATTTAGCAAAATAATTGGGCTATAAATCAGATGTAAGCAGAAGAATGCACCCAATCAAATGCGCGCTAATAGAATGGACAAATTCAAGAAGTGGCTGTCTGTCATCATCAGAATATTTAGGATTGTTGGAAATTTCAAGATAATTTACAATTTTTGGTGAATTGTAATGTCAACATAATAACTCACTGCAATCCCCTATCAATCTACTTAGGAATATACTGTAGTTCTGGACCTACTGCACTCATACAGATATGTGTACATGCACACACACACACACACACACACACAATAACAGAACGGAGTTGAAAGGGACCCTGAAGGTCTTCTAGTCCAAGCCTCAACCCAAGCAGGAGATTCTTTTTTTTTTTCAATATAAAATTTTATTATTTTCATCCTAAGAAAAACATCACAAATAATTCACAATGCTGTATGGAAAGAAATAAACCCCCACCCCCCACCCTCCCACCCCGGACTTCCCAAACCTAATCCCAGGATAATATTCAGATATAAGCAAACAAATATTAAAATCTCTAACTCCACAAAGTATATTATTCTACATGAGTAGGTAAAATATATTTAAAAAAAAAAGAGAAACAAGTTTACTTAAAAGCCTAAATTATATTCCACCACTCTGTGCTTCTTTTGAATATAGACAATCCATCTTCTCCATATTAATAAAAATTGTTCATTTGAATAATTCTTCAAATAAGCCGAAATCTTTGCCATTTCAGCAAGGTACGAAACTTTCAATCTCCAGTCCTCCATTGTAGGTAGAATTTTACTCTTCCAATTTTGAGCTATCAACAAACGGGCAGCAGTTAAACAATACAACATCAAGTTCGTTTCTTTTACATCCAAATTTTGTGTGATACCTAGGAGAAACAACTGAGGCANTTAATAGAAGTTTTTAAATTGATGTCTGTTGGTCGTTGCAATAGTAATTTTTCTTTAATCCCAATTTCTTTTTCCAAGTTTAATCTAATCTGTATTTGCTTACGTTTATGTGCATTATTCATAGCAATTAATATTCCCCTTAGATAAGCTTTGCCAGCATCCCAAACAATATTTATGGGGGTTCCCTTGTTCAAGTTAAATTGAAAGAACTCTTCCATAGATTCCTTCAAAGCTTTAACTTTATCCTCATAGTTAAACAAATTTTCATTTATTCTCCAAGGTTTCCTTTTTCTTTGTTGGCCAATCTCTATCCACACCATACTATGGTCAGTCAAAGTTCTAGGAAAAATTTTAGTTTTATTACAGTCAGTAAGCAGGTCAGTCGATGTCAAAACAAAGTCAATCCTTGAAAAGGACTCATGTCTATGAGAAAAAAAGGTAAAATCACGTTCATTCATGTGTTGTGATCTCCAAACATCCACCAATTCTAAGTCCTCCATCATAGCAAAAAAGGACTTAGGTAATCTGGAAAGGGTTACATCCTTAGAAGTTGTTTTTTTATCTTTTAATGTGTCCAAGACTCCATTCCAGTCTCCCATAACAATCAAAGAATTATAATCCATAGCCACAATTTTCTGATGTAATTGTCTATAAAATTGCTTTTGAGCTGAAAGTTGGTTAGGGGCATAAACCCCTATTATTAAACACTTTCTTCCATTTAGATTTATTTCCACAAATAAATATCTTCCTTCTTTATCAACTTCTTTTAAGATAGGTGAAAGGTGTCTTTTAATATATATTGCAACCCCAGCTCTTTTTTTTTAAGGCAGGTGCAGCAAACAAATCTCCAAGCTTAGAGTTCAAAATAATTTTTGATCTTTAGCCACAATGTGAGTCTCTTGTAAACATGTAATATCATTATTAAAATGTCTTAGATAATGAAAAACCTTACGTCTTTTGTGGGGAACATTGAGTCCACCCACATTCCAGGATATAAACTTACACATTGGCAGGNCCCCCTCATAAAGCAAGTGTCTCTGGATCATTCAGCTGAAAATGGAACTTCATTGAACGGGGAAGGAAAAGGAGCATAGAAATATTACTGGCATTTTCATTATTTGAATTACATGGTACCTGTTCAAAGTGAGAAGAAATAGAGGAAAATATGTTTGGCCTCAATCTTATTCTTAGTTATGGCACAATATGTTTCTTTTAAGCTCAGTGGGATTTCTTCGTAGTCCTGTATAAGATTACATTGGATTAACTTTTTTTAGTTGAATACAGTTCTGAATTCATGGCATATCCTGGTATGATGCCTAAGTAAATTCAAAGCACAAAAAAATGATGAGCTTTTTTCACTGTAGCTTATTTGGTACAAAGATTGTTTGCTGGAATATATAATTTCCCTAATATTTTGTGCTGTTTTTGTTTTTGCATTTATAAAAAAAGGTATGACTATATCTTAGTTGTAAATATATGTCCTGTTTTCTACTTTTCTAGCACTTGTACAGAAAGAAAACCAAGTTGTTCCCATGGGGTTTCTCATGGTTGAAAGTTTCTCATGGAAACATTTATCTCCAGGGCAGTTAATCCTGAAGATCCACACATATGCTACTAAAGCTGCTGTAATAAGTCTGCCTGCTGGGTATGTGTTGGTTTCTTTCTATGTTACTCATTAAAGAACAGAAACATTATTCTGAATTCGATCAAAGGTCTCACTGTTCCCATAGTAGCCAGCTAGGTGACTATTGAGAGGGAACCGACATGAAGCATAACCTGAGGGCAATAACATCCTGCTGTTGCTGTTTTCTGCAGATGATATTGGAGGTATAAAAGCTCGTAACAGGAGATAATATATTATATAAGTATCATATATATGTTGTACACTAGGAGGCATCGATTTGTTATCTCTCTGTAAACATGGATCTTATATTTGTTACACAGAACCACATGCATTTTGTATGTTTATGCAACCATTTAGAAACATGCCTTGGGAATTCTTCATTTTCCTTTTTCTTTTCTGTTTTGATTATAGAAGCTTTGATGGATTATTTAAGCAGAAATTGTACAAGAATTACACACTACCCTTTTTTCAATCACTGTAAGAGTTTGAAAACCACCGTTTAGTGAGAAAGGTCAAGAAGAAACACAGTTTATATATATATTTTGTCCCCTTTTCTTCATTTCTTTTTTTGTCCCTGTCTTTTTTCAGTCCAAAGTAATGTTTAACCAGAGCAGCAGCTCTAGGCAGCTTGTAAAGAGAGTAAGAAAACAGGGAAAAATTGAATCCAAGTTTGTCTAAGGGAATAAGCAGAGAAGCTAAGAGAAATATAAATATTGAGAGAAGCTTCATTGTGATCTGCAGAGTTTATGCAATGTTTATCTTCTTGACTGAAGAAGACCCAAAACACACCTGTTGAAATGCAAGTTTATTTTCTCTTTGGAGAAGAAAGTGTATGTAGTTGAGGAAAAATGCATCTGAGCTATTATTAGAAGTAATTCCCATTGTGTTCTTTTAAAGTGATTCTTTTAAATGTATGCTTAAATTACAGCCTCAGTCACTAATCTACAGTATTTGGGAATAGTTAAATAGCCTTGTAAGATATAACAATGTCACACTATAAATTTTAAAAAATGAGATGAAGAGAAAAAAAGGCATCTTGCTTAAAATGTAGTGCATAAGATTTGAATCTATCTCACAATGTTAGCCACTACAGTAAACTACCAGAATGATTTTTTGATTAGGCATTATATCTCCATTGCTATGCACGTGTACTTTGCAACTTAACCAATGTTTTTGCAGGTTAAATGAAATGCAGATTTCCATGCTTTGCTTATTTTAGTCCGGGAATTTTTATATCCACTTTTTTTCTATTATATGTAAATAAATTATGAATGTTATATTTGGAAATTTTAATTACTTTCATGTGTTGCTTTTTTAAATGTAGCCGCCACGTGTTGCTTTTTACTGCAAGTTCTCCCATAGGACACAATATCCATCTGTGTAGTATGGTGCCATGTGTATTTGGCGAAGAGGATATAGTTCTACCAAATCTTGAAAAGGTATTTGTTACCATAGTAACTGGATTTGTGTTCTCATTGACTATTACTTACTTTATGAGGTTTTTTTCTCCCCTTTTCATTTCATTTTATTTACAGTCTCTATTTTTGTTTCATACTTGGCTTTGAAAAATAAAGCAGCTAGAGCTTGCTTGAAAATATTGGCTTTTAGTAGCATTGCATCCTAGAGTCACCATAAGTCAATGCAGTCAAGGAAAGGATTATATTAAGCATTACGTTTAGATATGACATGCAGCCTTTTCCTGATGAGATTAGATAATGCATCATATTCGTGGAGTCATGACCTGATGACACTTGCACTACGTGGGTTTTGATGGTTTGCTTTGAGATATCACTGATTAGAGGAATTGATGAGCATTATAAGTTAGTATATACTACATCCACTTACACATTTGGCATATGAATGTACTTTGAATAGTTCTTCAGTTATTGGCAAGTAAAATATGTCTTTCCCTCCCCCAGGAGAGCTATCGTTTCATGGAACAAGCTGCTGCTATAATGAAAGCCATTGGAAATGTAATAATTAATTATGGGAATGCAGAAAATCTTCCCAAAGCTATAAAAGCCCTGGAATTAACACATTGCCCCCCTGGTCTTTATGGCACAGGAATAGCTAGAGAACATTCTAAGGTAAAAAGAAGAAGAAGACTAACTTGTACAGGTAGTCCTCAACTTACAACAGTTCATTTAGTGACTGTTCAAAGTTACAACATCACTGAAAAAGTGTCTTATGACCGGTTTTCAAACTTTACGACCATTGCAGCATCCCCATGGTCACGTGATCAGAATTTGGATATTTGGCAGCTGACGTATATTTATGACGTGTCCCAGGGTCATGTGTCCCGGGGTCATGTGATCCCCTTTTGCGACCTTGTGACAAGCAAAGTCAATGGGGAAGCCAGATTCACTTAACAACCGTGTTACTAACTGAACAACTTCAGCCAGACACTTAACAACTGTGGCAAGAATGGTTGTAAAATGGGCAAAATTCACTTAATAACTTTCTCACTTAGCAACAGAAATTTTGCACTCAATTGTGGTCATAGGTTGAGGACTACCTGTATATGCTCTTTCAGTTATTGTTTCTTAATGCTGTCTGTCATATAATTAATATGTTTAAGAAAATGTGCTATTAATTCAGAATAATTTGAAAAGTCTTGGCATTTTTCAATGCTGACAAAAAGCCTAGACCAGATACCAGTTACAAATCATCTAAGAGGATCTAAGCCAACTTTATCATGCTTTCTGTGGTCTTGGGCATAGAACAGAAGGTCATAGAACCAGATACTTTGCTCTCAGCTAATAATACTTAGACTTCTCTGGCTGCTATACGATGGTTCCTTAACCCATAGGATGCAAACCCTGTCTTCTGAGGGTGTAGATCTAATCTTGGAATCCCATTTGCAATAACTGCAGAGAGCTTTGCAGCCATTGCTTCTCAGGTGACAAGAATTTTTACAAGCAGGGAATCTGTAGGAACCATAGCTGTCTTATTCCCAGATATGCTCCCGAAACAGCACCTAATGTTTACAAGTCTCTGAGATGGTGTGAATTTTGTTTTTTGAAAACCAATATATTATGATCAAATAAATACATCTGATGCTGTGAATAAATATTTTACAATATCTTCTTAGCAAAACTGGATATCAAATCAAATTTCATATTGTAAGAAAATAACCCATTTATACAATAGGAGCAAAAGCTAGTTCCCAAATGTTTATGGAGATTGTCAGTCATCCAGGGCTGTCCCAAAGCCAAACGTGCTTTTTCAAGAGGCAATTGGACTTTCAAGTTTGAAAGAGGGGTCAAAGAGACTATCTATGACAGAACTGAATAGCCCTCTCTCAATAGAGGGGGAGGGATACGATATCATTTATTTCCAGTCTACAACACAATCCTTTCAGCAGTTCCAAGAAGGAACCACTTGCACACCCATTTGCACCACTGAGGTGACCTTGAGGACACAGATAAACCTTAAGTGGCCTCAATGACTCTCTAAAAGAATGAAAATGACCAGCTGTCTATAAGGAATATAAATCCTTCCATTCCCCACCATCCAGTCAGAGCTGAAGAAGTTTCTTGGATGAGAAGTGAAAGAAAAACAAGAAAGTCCACTTGCTTGAAAAAGCATCTTTGGGACTAGTTCCCAAATAAATAGACTCATCTATTTTCTTGACTTTGTTTTTTCTTAGTTATATTATAATATATTATAGATAGATAGATAGATAGATAGATAGATGGATGGATGGATGGATGGATGGATGGATGGATGGATGGATGGATGGATGGATGGAGTGTGTGCGTGTGTGTGTATATAATATAATAATGGTCTGTTTTCTTGGTTATAATAAATAAAATGTATATGAATATTTATTTTAATTAATTTGCTGTTTATTTATTTAGGCTTTCAATAATGCTTTTTGGCATCTGATGAAACAAATATTAGGGAATGTTCCTTCCAATTATGAATTTGCTTACAGAAGTTTTACACTGGATTTTAAGCTCAATGATGTTTCTGTTGAAGACACTGAATCCTCAGGTAAAATAAGAATGTCTGACAGAATTTATCAGCAATATTTGTCTTTAAATATTCTATTGATAATTGAATTAGAGAGAAGATCAGTGAATATTGTAAATCCAGCCATTCTGATATTGACAAACAAAAAGCATCATTGTTAAGCATTCCTTCATTAAAATGGTAAATGTCCTTTTTATCCCTCATACATCTAAAATAAGACAGCTAATTAAATTCTATATTATTAAGCCAATTTGAGGAAGTTAAAGTCAGTGGTGGGATTCAGCCAGTTCGCACCACTTCAGCAGAACCGGTAGCTAATGTTTTGTTGTCCAGGTCCAGAATGGACTCCCGGAAGTGGCATCCACACAGAGAACCATATTTGAATCCCACCACTGGTTAAAGTGTTTAATTTTTATTTTTTGGACATTTATCATCCCTTGAAAATTGAAGGCAATAGTCTAAAGAATTTGCCCCGAAACCATGCCAAGATGGTGAGAGTGAATGGAGACCATATCCTTTTCCCCAGTAACATATTCATATTTTTTACCACAGGATCTTCTTCCACGTAAAGCCCTTTAATCCTCCAGAACCTGTTTTGATAATATGGGAAGCTTCAGCGAAAAAAGTGGAATCAATTCTTTCCCATTCTGTAAATAAAAACTATTCCCATTCTTAGGAAGACACATTGGATTCTAACCTTCATATTTATTGATTGATTCATATTAAATGCATTAAGTGCATATGCATCTCAGGCATTTCATCAGAGTCCATTGAATCCCTATTGTGGTGCCTGAGTCATTAATATGCTCATGACACTATGTTGCCCTCAGGATTCTCTATTCCTCTGGACTTATTTTGTACCTGGCCATACTACTATGTGAAATGATGGACTGGAATAATAATTTTTCTGTCCATTTCCCTGGTAGTAATAACTGCATTTCCTTCTTTGTGTATGCTGTTGATCATTGAAAGCTAGTGAAGTGATAATTTTGAAGTTTGGACACAGCCTTCAATATGCGTTGGGCACAGCTTCATTTCACATAGCCCAACCTACTATTATATAAATGTGACATCTAATACTGAATACATAACCATATTATGAATATATAAATGGATTTCAAGTTTTTAAGTAAAACCTAAAATTATAGTCTTCATAATTTTTTCCCCTCAGTTTTGGAGCTGCAGTCATTTCAACACCAATGCTACCAAATAATGGCACTGAAAATTAAGAATTTTCTTTAGCTCTTCCTTCCCTTTAGTGGTCTTTTGGATTTTTGCAATTAAGATTGAGTGGCCCTAAACACTTGCAGGAACTTAGCAAGACCATTGAAAAAGTTTCAGTCATAGATATGTTTTGAAATTTTAATTGGATTTCAGTATTGATTAGTTCCTGACAGAAAAGAGAACAATGTATCTCTTACCTAAAAGTTTTGGATTTTTTCCTATGAATTTATTTAAAATAAATCTAGTCTAGAATACTTCTAAGTTTGATAAATCAGGTATATTAATTATATTTTTTTTAAAAAAGAATATCTTCTATATCTTACAACTTCAATTTTTTAGTTGATAGTCATGCTTTGAATGAAATTAAATGACACTCAGCTTTTGAAGCTTTTCTTCATAAGGAAGATATTCATATGATGTGACCATTTCAGTTTTTTGCAGTCATTTTCCAGTATCTTTGTGAAATTACATTCAGTATTCTAACAATGAGCACGCTACTCATTTATATGATCATGATATGGTGCTGTTTTATTTTCTGTCCCTTTTGGTATAAGCACTGAGTTTACATTTTTGGATTATACCTCTGTAGTCTTTGTGAGGTTTCCCTTCTTTAGGATTTTATTGTTATATGTGTGTGCATATTTTTTTTTCTTGTGCCTTATTGATATATAATTTGGGATACATAAAAATCAGTACTTACAGAACAGAGTTCACTATTAATACTTAGAACTCATCATAATACTATAAAAAAAACATATGGTCATTTATTTTTAACTGCTTTTTCAAGCAAAAAGCTCTCTCAAGGTTTTCACAAATAGGATCGTAGAACAATTTAAAGAAAGAGGATAGTTCATCATAGCTATATAAAACATTTCTTTCCAAGTCATCCATTGTGTTTTATGAATGCTATGAATTTAATTTTTGTTGTGCTATGTATATATTGTTGTTGTTGTTAATTGCAAAGTCGTGTCCGACCCATTGCGACCCCATGGACAATGTTCCTCCAGGTCTTCCTGTCCTCAATCATCTTTTGGAGTCCATTTATGTTCACGCCTACTGCTTCAGTGACTCCATCCAGCCACCTCATTCTCTGTCGTCCCCTTCTTTTGTTGCCCTCAATCTTTCCCAGCATTAGGCCCTTCTCCAGTGAGTCCTTCCTTCTCATTAGGTGGCCAAAGTATTTGAGTTTCAACTTCAGGATCTGGCCTTCTAAAGAGCAGTTGGGGTTGATCTCTTCTGGGACTCACCGGTTTGAACGCCTTGTAGTCCAAGAGACTCGCAGGAGTCTTCTCCAGCACCATAGTTCAAAGGCCTCAATTCTTTGGCGCTCAGCCTTTCTTATGGTCCAGCTTTCACATCCATACATTGCAACTGGGAAAACCATGGCCTTGACTATACACACTTTTGTTGGCAGGGTGATGTCTCTGCTTTTTAGTATGCTGTCTAGATTTGCCATAGCTTTCCTCCCCAGGAGCAAGAGTCTTTTAATTTCTTGGCTGCAGTCCCCATCTGAGGTGATCTTGGAGCCCAGGAAAATAAAATCTGTCACTAATGTATATATTACATATGTATTTATGTATTTTCAGATGCAACAGAGGTAAGTGTTCCTCTTTGGCAGAATAGAGAGTCTACTCCTGAAGAAGAGGAAGCTGCAGTTAAACTGCAAGCCATCTGGAGAGGAACATACATCAGGCTACTGATGAATAGCAGAAAACCAGGTCAGGATTCTTCAAATCAATCTATTCATTATTTTTAAAACAGTGAGAATTTTTAATGGGATGTATGGGAGAAATGTAAAATTATTTATTATTAATACTTTCATGATGTGTCAGGGATGCATCCAACTCTAAGCAACTTATTATTCATTTATAAAGACAGAAATTAAAACATAATCCCCTTGGAAAGAAGTCTTACAAGGACTAGAGAAAAATATATTCACATAGAGACAGATTCAGAAGTTGCCACATATCTGCCAAATTTAATTCCAATAAATATGCTTGTAGCACATTTTTAGTCAAAGCTCGGTTTATCTGAAACTGCATAAAATCAGCTAATAAAGATCCAATTATTCAAATTCTGATTTGCCACCAAATTAAAAAATGTGAGTAAAACATTTCTATAAAACATCTGAGCAGTTATTAGTTAGACAATAGAAAATAATAAGTGCTACTCAATTACTCTAATTACTAATATTAAAAACTATCCTTCTGAATCACCTATTAATTAGTTTGGAATGACTACTCATGGTTATTTTATCTATCCATTTTCACATGTCAAGCATAAAAAAAGAAAAACAGATTTATTTTTAAACAACCCACAATATGCCACATAAAAAAAATTCAAAATACAAAATTAAGATTAATACCTTTTAGAACTGTAGTTTAGTACAAAATTCTAGAAGAAACTTAAGAAAAAGAGATAAAATAAAATACATTAATTATCATAAGAAGTTAAAAAAAATGTTCTACAAAGACTCCCAAAAAGGACATATTGAAATTGCTGAACAGTGATTTCTCCCCTCAACCAGAAGGTGTAACTCCAACTTAAGAAATAATAAAAATGTAAAGTAAACAGGCTACTGTTTCTTGATCTTTTGCTCCTGGGGGGGGAATTTCAGCAGCTTCAAGAACTGAGAATTTATTTAGCCAATATCTAGGATGAAAATGTAGTTGGATATAGAAAATAAGTTTGCCTTCCACTAAATGTGCCTCATTATACAGCTTAGGTTTCTTCACTATCCCACGAAATCATTATTTTCATACCTTTCAATTTGAAGTGAGTAGTTTCACAATAGAAACTCATACTTGGTCCAAATAGTATAGATCGGATCCCATCTCTTGCTACCATTTCTTCTAGTTGCATAGGATTTTATTAATTTCTTTTTTGAAGCTCTTCATCTCTGACAAATTGTTTTTTCCAATAAAATATCATTCTGAAAAGTTGCACTGGTATGTGAATGTACTTTGAAAAATATTCAGGAAATCACATGTCTGTTTTCTGTCCAGCTTTTGAAAAAAACAGCTAGTGAACTTTAGGGACACAACAAGTGATCTTGAAAAATATGATCGCCATCATTCAAGATTGTGAGGTCACACAAGCAGAGTCAGTCTGATTCATATGTGCATGGATAAAGTATTCAAATATGTTAAAGTCTAGCCTAGAATCTTATCTATAGAATTAGATAGAAAGTAATTTAAAACTATACAATACTTGGATAATACAAGCTATCATTGTACTACAAATATTCACCTTATACTACGTAATGGTTTATTTTTTTCCCTTTTGTAATTTTAGGCACAAAGGAGAATGCTAAAGTCAAAGAAACACTTCAAAAGTTGTGGGCTGTAATTGATCCAAATTTTGAACAATGTTCTTTAATGTTTTTGAGGTAATATATCTCTTGCAATATCATATTTGTCAAACCCCATAATATGATAGCCACCCAGAGTTTGGTGTAAGATGAGTGGCTGTCTATCTTTCTGTGCTATCTTTTACAGAGATATATTTAAAAGTAAATGTAAGTCAGTTGAAAAATATCGTTGCTATGAAGATGAATGGACTAAGACAACTTTTGCTGATTATACTGTAACTTACGGGGATCAACAAGCAAATGTTTGGTTTGTAGTCTTCAGGTGAGTTTATTATTGATATAACCCACCAGCAATCTAAAATAAAATTTATTTTATAGTTAAATCTCTTAATATACCTGAGACCCAAATATCCACATAGTGAAGTTTCCTAGTATATGTTCCCCTGTCCTAATCTCAGATATCTGCCTTATAACTAAAAAGTGTGTCCTTTCAGGTAAATCTCAGCAATCTCTTTTTCTGTTAAGTATTCTTTCAGTTTCTGCCTTCCATATCACAAACATGAAAGACTAAATTTCATTATAAACAAGTTAAGTCTGAGATGTGGAAAGAAACTTATTATATGACTTCTGCAGTATTTTTTTTATTTGAAAAATAAAGCAATACTTTCATTTTTTCCCATTGACCGGACATGAACATTAATAAACATTTTTTAAAAAACCAAACCTCTTTCTAAATTGCTATACTCAATGGCTACTTCAAAACCTCTCAATATAATATACATTTCCTATGTCAGCTGTCCAAAGAACTGCAGGGCATTTCTTAGCAGCTTATATATATTAAATAAATATTGGCTTGGTAGCAGAGCTTACAGTATTTTAGTGTGAAAATTTAACAACATTATGGATATGCATGCAAACAAACTAGAAATAGACTTATTAAAAAAGTCTTAATATAAAAGAAGTTATTTTTAACTCTTCTTTTTATTGTAGAGAAGTATTTTACATTCCGGAAGACATGATTATTGTACCAAAAGTTTATTCAACAGTGCCAACCTGTGTATTGCATGTTGTTGACAATGACACATTACAGGAAATCCCTCGAGTCTTTCTCAGAGTTGCGCCCTATCTTTATACAAAGAACAAGGTGAGATACATAAACATCTTAATCGTAATCTTCATAGCAATGCCATTCATTCTCTTTTTTTGCTACATCCAAACACACAGACACACAGACACACACACTAAGAGTGTATAATACAATTCAAACTAAAGAGTCAATATTAAAAGAGACCGATTCAATATCTGATGACAAACTGATTTGAACTTTAATTTAAATTTTTAATTTAAGAATCAATTCAAAATAAATTCATTGATAGTCTCTACTAGAAAAACTTTCAAATTCTTGAAGCTTTCATTTTCAAGTATCATCTTAAACATTTCAATTAATTAACTTTTTTTTATTTTAGAAAGGATATACTTTCATGGCTGAAATTCAGACTGGTGAATCACCTGTGCCGGCTGGGAAAGTAAGGCTTCGGCTCATAAGTTCTTACTCTCCCCTTCCATTTCTCTCTCGTGAAGCTGTAAACAACGTGTTTGCTGTTAAAGAAGTTAAAGACTATTATTTACCAAATGATAAGCATATTATATTCAGGTAAAATATGAAAAAGGCAAAGTTATTTGCATATTATTATTACTAGTACTATACATTTTATGCACAGAAATTATTTTTAGTATGTAACATCAGAGGGCTGAGCAAGTACTTGAAAAGGAATATTTCACATGTAGAAATGCTCAGAAGCAGCTTACAAAGCAATTGTGCAAGCCTGGAAAAAGACACAATTTACACAGCCTTTTGTGTGTGTGTTTGTGGGGAGTGGTATAATAGGTCAAATGCAGGTGATACTACAATTAATAATGTAATGAAAGGTAATAAATACGAATAAATACACTAAAAACTACTTCAGTACAATTTGCAATTCTTTCCATCCTGATCAGTACATTTCATTACAGTATTTTTCTAATGAATAATATTAATTAAAAATATTAAAGATTAAGGCAGATGATCTAATATTGCTGGGTATTTGTTTAGAAATATCAGAGGCAGCATGAATAAAAGAATAGCTTTCCAGTTCCAGTTTTGTTATTGGCTAGAATTAGATAAACATATAATGAATAAATACACAAAAGGAAAATGGAGGCACATTAGTATGCCATAGTCTCATGGCCAAGAGGAAACTGAATCAATTCACCTATTTCAAATTACTCTACAGGTCTGGGTGTAAAGTTCACACTAAATAAAAACAAGAGTGCTGGACTTATAAACTAGTTACTTCTTTTCTATGGAAATAATTTAAAAATTGCATTCCCTATCAGCAGCCAGATTTTCCAGCATAATTTCACCCGACGTGTTCAGATCAAAACTAATATAAGAAAACTGAAAGCTCTAACAAAGCAAAGGAATTAAAATTCTACAAAGACAATGGAAGCTGTGGGACATCTGTTAAGACTCCCCTGAGAACAGCTTCTTAGGTAGAAACTATTCATGACAACCTTCCTTAATCTGGTGTCCTTGGTGTATGTTGGGTTGACTCCCATATCCCAGCCATTGGTTGTGCTTTGGGGTGAGGTGTGGGTGATTATTGGAGATATAGCACAAAATATCATATGGGGATCGAATTGGGAAAAGTTATTCAGTGTACTTATTTAGCTTGTTGTTCATTCTCACTGAGGTGTTATTACTAATGTGTAAGAAATAGCTTTCACTTTCTTCTGAGACACCTTTAAATATTAAATGTTAACTCCATTTTCACTGTAATACTGTAACATTGGTGCTCTACTTATTTGAGTAGCAGCAAGTAGGTTTTTCTAAATATATACAGTATATAATTTTCATATCAAACCTTATTTTCACAGTGCTTAGAAACTGTTTTCTTGAATAAAAATAAAATAGAATTTGATTTGCTGAAGAGAATTACATATGACATTATTGTTTATTTGTTTTCTGTCTTGATTTTTTCCCCTTTAGATATTTAGTAAAAGTTACGATACCACTTATTGCTACTGTGCAGGTACAGACTTCTAAATCGGATACTATAATTAAACTACAACTTCTGGATTCTGAAGAAGAAATGGCGAGCTCTACTGGGAAGGGTCATGTTATCATTCCTGCATTTCATTTCATATCTTCTGAAAGGCCTTTAAGTAGTCTATGTCAGTATTCTATGCTTTTGCTAGATGATAATGATGATTGTGATGATGGCAATCTTGAATGTATTTTTATGTATGTATGTATGTATGTATGTTTGTATGTATGTATGTATGTATATGTGTATATGTATATGTGTGTGTATACATACATACATGCATACATACATACATACAGAAAGTTTTTCAGACAGACTGGTCTGATTGATTGCACCTTGGCATTTTGACTGCTATACTGCAGTTCTACTTTTTTATAATCTCTTTTGCCTTGCAGCCCCCCAACTAGGGGCGTTAAGCAGGCTCAAGTCGCAACTGCGATGTATTACAAATTCAGATTTCTTTATATATATGTGTGTGTGTGTGTGTGTGTGTGTGTGTGTACATCTGTATGTATGTCAATAATGTTTTCACTAGGAATTTGATTTGTTATGTTTCCTGCTGCAAAGTATAGTAGCTAATCAGGGTTCTATATGGCACTGTTAATGACTAGAAATAGTTTTCTACAGAGTCCCATGCTGCTGTCCTACAAGGAACCGTAGTAGCAATGTGCTTGCCATGTAACCTGCTTGTCTCACATAGGAGTGAGTGCCACAGTCACCAAATATTTGACTCCTCTTTTGGCAGTCTTTTATATACTTCTAAATCAACTCCAGAAAGATGGAAGATTTTATTGAATATTGTAAGCCACAGATCTGCACCTTACATAGCAAAACAGCTAAAACTATATTCTTCCCCTTTCAGTTAGCTGGAGCATCCTAACAACTCCCATTAATCAATCTTTTCACAGAATCCAATCCATAATATTGTGTCATCAAGCATTAAAAATTGAAGAGTGGTAGAAAAAGGGAAACTCCATGACTATAATCCAGTAATCCAGGGTTTCTCAAATATTGCAGTATTGCAACTCTCCAAAATTATAAATGAATTTGTGTGACACATCCTCACCTTTGAGGTTTGGATTCACAATAAATATATTTATTTATTTATTTATTTATTTATTTATTTATTTATTTATTTATTTATTTATTTATTTATTTATTTATTTATTGAAGCAGCACATTTTTTCAAGCATCTCTTCAAAGAAACTTGTTTTACTTGCCTTTGTTTGTTCCAGTAGAATAATTAGTTTTGAAGTATAAATAAAGACCAGTGAATCACAACCCTTTAAAGAAGTGAATCATTGAAAATGTATTTCCCTTGGGAAGGGAATCCCTTGTTTGGGAATGCTTGTCTTTATATAAGTCATTTACTTTATCAAGATCATTGTCAGAGGCCATTCTTTATGTGTGATGGCACTTGTTAACTTGTTGTGGGTCTAGTATTGTTTAGTTCACTGTTAGTCTAGTATAACCCTGATTAGCTGGGTGTTGATTACTGGCAAGATGTTTTGACTTTTTCATTTCCTTTTTGGCTTTTTGATTGTCTCTGTTGAATGGTATGTAGATGTTTTTTATCTTTGTATGTCTGTTGATGGCTGATCTGTCTGAGTGCCAGGAATTCTCTAGTGTTTTTAGTCTTTGCTCACAGTTTCCCACAGTTTTCGAGTTGAAATTATGATGAAGTCTGTCCATGTGTTGGAAATAAAAGAGTTTTCATGTCTTCTGATTGCTGGTTGGTGTTTGTGGATGTGCTCTGCTAGTCTTCTTCATGTTTGTCCTACATAGTATCTATTATAGTCCTTATACTGTATGTTGTAGATGTCTCCTGTTTATTCTTCTGGGGCTGCAGATCTTTTGATTTACTTAGGATATTTTGGAAGACTTTAGTTGGTTTGTGTGCTATGGTGATGCCAGATGCTTTTGCCACCCTTTTTTTTGGACTCAAACTTTGTTTATCAGACTATTGTCTAGACTGCAGCTCTTTCTCCTGTCTTCCCAAGGTCATTCTCACATTACATAAACCTCCTGTAATCTTCAGTACTGATGATCATGGTATCCTTCTGGACTACTGGTTTGGGAGTTTATTGTTCAGGCAGGCAGTTCTCATTAGTGATATTAGGGACAAGGAGAGGTCAAGCCTTTGGGCACTCTGTTATAGGGCTGCCTCAGTGTCCAGTTCTTCTATTGTGTTTAGCCTCTTCATGAAACCACTCTGAGAAGATTTCAGCTGATTCAGGATGAGGTATCATCAATATGCTGGGTAACTCCACCCACCCCGGGCCCAATTCGAGATGTGATAGAAATTCTAACTCAATGCCTGGATGGGGAGAAACAAAAGCAAAATTCAACCAAAACAAGACTGCTGTTAATTTAAAAGCCAGGACTAACTTTGCCTCTTGATTGAATTGTTCATTCCCAGAGAGAAAAGGCTTGCAATCTAATTTAATAAATATGTCATGGACTCAGAACTTCTATCAGAAAAGAAGATGGAAGTCATGGCCATGTGAGCTTCAATCTTCAGCTGGTTTACCAGTTGCAGCCTTAGCTGAAACATGATGTATTGAGAAGAATTGCTTGTGCCCTTACCATCTCCCAGTTATATAACTGTATTCAGGAATGCTTTTGAGTACCAGTCAGAAACTTCTGGTGATCCAAAATGCAACAGTTCATGTGCTCACTGTTCAGTGGTGGTGCTACATTATTATATCATTGCTGCAGGAGTTTGCATGGTTACTAGTATGTTGCTGAATACACTGAAGAATTCAATTGCTTTCTTAAAAACTTTATATGGTTCAGAGCCTAAGTATTTAAGAAGTTAATTCTCCCTGATTAAGATGGCTAAGAGCATCTGCTAAGGATCCCAAGGCTACAACCAGCAGTAAATCCCAGACTATGGTTTGGGATCTAGCAGCAACATCAAATACTGATAACAAGCAACAAGCCGGACCATAAATATAAAGAGACTCCATGTAATCTAATAACAGATGCTAGTAGAAGACTAATTAACAAGCTTCAGGTAACCACCATTCTGGTTTCATGGTGGTTGCCTTTCATCTTTTCTTCTTCACATTGAGCAAGAACTGCAAGGCATAAAGATAAACATACATACACACATCGGCTTGAGAGCTTCCCTTGCTGGGGAAGAAAAGAACTTGTCCTTGAATTCTACAACTAACATCTGCCATACTTCATTAACAGTGCTTAGAAGCTGCTACTCAGGAGGTAGCTTAGCCCTTTCTAATTCTGCATACACTTTTGCCCCTGGTTACTGTTTGGCTAAACTTGGCTTATTGGTCTGCTGGCCCTGGTTACTGTTTGGCTAATCCTGGCTTACTGGACTGCTGGCCCTGGTTACTGTTTGGCTAAACCTGGTTATTGGACTGCTGGCCCTGGATACTGTTTGGCTAAACCTGGATTATTGGACTGCTGGCCCTGGTTACTGTTTGGCTAAGCCTGGCTTATTGGACTGCTGGCCCTAGTTACTGTGTGGCTAAACCTGGCTTATTGGATTGCCCCTGGTTACCGTTTGGCAATCCTTGTCTGTTGGATTACTCACAGCCAGAGGCTGCCGAAGAGCCAGAGTGTCAAGAGCCAGAGAAATCAGGAGATTCAGGTTTTGGGCCGCCCCCACCGCCGCCGCCGCAGAAGCCGGGCGAACAGCAGCTCAGCGAACCGGAGTACATGAAGATGGAAGGCTCCGTTGTGCAGGGGTTAAAAGAGTAGTCATTTACCAACCCACATGCCCGCGATGTATTCAGCGGCTGACCTCCATGCCCTGCGAGAGTCCCCTCTCTCGCAGGTTTGGCCCTCAGTGTTAACGAGGGCCCACCTCTATGAGGAATTTTTGAATCAAGAGAGGTGGTCGAAACGTAACTTAAGGGGATTTTTAATAAAAAATTTAGTCCAGGTTTTAAGGGGTTCCAGGGAGAGGGGTGGGCAAACCAAAATTAGGGTGGTGGGTGAGGGTGATCACCCACCGGGGAATTCTCCCAGGCCGGCTGATAGCCTCGGCGAGGAGGGCGTAGGTCCTGGAATTGGGGAGGGGGGGAGGGTCTGCCTAACAGAGGGCAACTTCATCAAGACTGTGTATGGGAGGGGTAGATATGGCGGGAGCAGAGGGCCATATTACATTAGGGCAGGGCGCACCCATTGTTTATGAGCTGTGGCGCGCTCCGGCCCTCATGGCTCTTGCAACCTAGGGGGTTTGGGATCACAGGGGCCTGGGCTTCCGGCTGATGCTGTGTAATGCCAGGTCCGTGGTTAATAAAGCCCCCCTCATTTATGATCTGGTTTCGGAGGGGGAGACGGACCTGGCGGGTATTACGGAGACCTGGCTGGGCCAAGAGGGGGGGTGCCCCTCGTTGAAATGTGCCCGCCAGGTTACCGTGCATTTCACCAGCCGAGAGCCCAGGGTCGGGGTGGGGGGGTGGCGGTTATTATTAAGGAAGGCCTGGACCCAAGAGAGACCACTGTGCCGCAGACTGCCGGTTGTGAGTCCCTAGGTGTGAAGTGGGGTCATGGGAGGCAGCAGGGCATGCTGATTGTGTACCTGGCTCCCCGCTATGTATCAGCAGCCCTACCCGAGCTTCTTAGTGTGATAGCCGAGATGGCGATTGGGACCCCCAGACTGTTAGTCATGGGGGATTTCAATCTGCCATCGGTAGGTGAAACATCTGAGGTGGCTCGGGAGTTCATGGCCTCCATGACGGCCATGGACCTGACCCAATTAGTTGGTGATCCTACCCACACCGGAGGACACACACTGGACTTAGTTTTTGCCTCTGGCCAGTGGTTGAGTGATCATGGTTTAGGGGAAATAGTCGTTGAGCCCCTGTCATGGTCAGATTACTCTCTCCTTCGGCTGGCCTTTCCAACCGCTACACCCCACCGCGGGGAGGCGGAACTGGAAGTGACAAAATGGTTCCGCCCCAGGCGCCTGATGGACCCCGAGAGGTTCCAGATGGAGCTTGGGCCAATACCTGAGACCCTGACCCGCGGCTCGACTGAGGACCTGGTGGCCGCCTGGAATAGTGCGGCCGCGGGGGCCCTGGACCGGGTCGTGCCTTTGCGGCCTCTCACCCGATACCGGACTACCTTGGCTCCTTGGTTCTCCGAGGAGCTGAGGGTGATGAAGCGTCTGAAGAGATGCCTAGAGGGTGTTTAGAGGACCACCCGCTCAGAATCTGACCGGACACTGGTAAAGTCCCATTTAAGGACTTACCTAGTGGCAATAAGAGCGGCGAAACGAAACTATTTCTCCACTCTTATCGCGTCTGTAACCGACCTGCCGCCCTGTTTAGAGTGTCCCGCTCCGTCCTTCATCAGAGGGTCCGGGACGCCCCCCTGCAGGGTCGGGCAGAGAAATTTGGGTTTACCTGCATGACAAAATCGATCAGATCCGGGACGGGTTAGCCTCCGATTAGACTAGTTCAGACGGGCCAACGGAGGCAGGTCTTGAGTCCACTTTCTGGGAAGAGTTCGATCCTGTGACTCCCGAGGACATGGACAGGATACTGGGACGGCTGAACACCACTACGTGTTTACTGGACCCGTGTCCCTCCTGGCTGATACTGGCCTCCCGGGAGGTTACACGAGGCTGGCTCCAGGGAATCGTCAGTGCTTCTCTGAGTGAGGGGTTCTTACCGGCTGCCTTGAAAGAGGCGGTGGTGAGGCCCCTCCTCAAGAAGCCCTCCCTGGACCAGGCTGTTTTGGCCAACTACCGTCCTGTCTCCAACCTTCGCTTTCTTGCGAAGGTTGTTGAGAGTGTGGTGGCACGACAGCTCCCTCAGCACCTGGAAGAAACTGTCTATCTAGACTCGCGCCAGTCCGGCTTCCGGCCTGGGCACAGCACGGAAACGGCATTGGTCGCATTGGTTGATGATCTCTGGAGGGCTCGGGAT